AATGACTTCAGGAACCACCTCAGCTTTCCAGTCAGGGCCGATGACTAAAGGCAGCCCGGGGACTAGGGCCTGGCCATTTCTGCCCGAGTCAAGCTCGTCTCTGCTGTGACGGCTGAAACGATCTCAGAGTTGTATTCCTGAGTCTCCTTCTCCTCAACCCTCCTTCCTTCCTTCCTCCTTTAACAGGAGTGAAATTTGAGGCTCCCCCCCTCCTATTCCTCTTCCCTCTCCACTTTCTCTTTTATGGGCATTAGTACCTAATAAATTCTCTGAGTCTCAGTTTTATTTCCAATAAAATAGATAATATCCTCCTCATACAATTGTGTGATAATTAAATGACCTAATATATGTGAATTATCTTGGTACAATGTACAGTCCTAAATAAATAAAATTACTAAGATTATTATGATTCCCAATGACAGAGGTGTACATGCCAACCAAATAATATGCTACAATGATATGTCAGGTTCTTTTTTTCCCCCTCTATTTCTAAGATCTTGCATTGCTTTAATATGCATTCCAGAACAGTGGCTTTCAAACTTATGCTCAAGGCAGGGAACTTGGAAATCATGATGCTCTTTGCTCTTCACCATGAGATATAGATACATTCATGTCCATCATATTATTCATTCATTCAACAAATATTTGAGAATTTATTGTGTGCCAGAAATTATTCAGGGTGCTAGGACTACAATAGAGAACAAAATTTGGAGCCTATGGTTTTCTAATAAAAATAAATACAATAATAAATGCAGTCAGATCTCCATAGAGATCTGTATTAATTCATTTTGTCTTCTCAAAACCAGATGAGGCAGAGAGGGAACACAATCATGCACATTTTATAGAAGAGAAAACCAAGGTACAAAAAGAAGTAAAAATAACTTCTTCAAGATCAAACAGCCGGTGAGAGGCAGATGCCAGGCTCCCCTCTCAAGCAGTGTGACTTGAGTCTTTGCCAATGTTTAAAACAGTGATTCTCAAACAGTAGCTATATCAGGAACTCTGGAAAGGAGACTGTTAAAGCACACATTGCTGGGACCTACGTGGACATTTTTTGATTCAGTAGGTTATGAGGTAGGGGTCAGGATTTGCTTTTTTACAAATTCCAAGAAGATGTGGCTGCTGCTGGTCCTATTGGTTCTGGGACCACACTTTGGGAACTACCTCTAAGCCATGTTGCCTCTCTACAAACTTACTTGTTATAATGATCTGAGCACCAAATTTCAGTTTGCATATAAAATCAACTGTGTTACGGGGAACCTGGGTGCCTCAGTCAGTTAAGCATCTGCCTTTGGCTCAGGTCGTGATCCCAGAGTCCTGGGATTGAGACCCATGACAGGCTCCCTGCTCAGCAGGGAATCTGCTTCTCCTTCTCCCTCTGCCTCTTCCCCACTCGTGCTCTCTCTCTCTCAAATAAATAAATAAATAATCTTTAAAAAAAAATCGGTTGTGTTTCATATCATTTCAATACATTCCAAATTTTTAGGAATGACACTTCCAGGTAAATCAACAGAAGATTGTAGTTTGTTCTGCTGGGACTTGACCAAGAGTTATCTAGCATTGACACCTGACCTAGGGCTATCTAGCATTGACACTTGACAGAGTTATCTAGCATCAACACCAAGGTATGGTAGTTGAATGATCATCTGATGAGATATTTATGTTTTGTTTTTTTTTTTTGAGGTAGGGTGTAGAGGGAGAGAGACAAAGAATCTTAAGCAGGCTCCACACCCAGTGCAGAGCCTGATGTGGGGCTCGATCTCACAACCCTGAGATCATGACCTGAGCCAAAATCAAGAGTCTGAGGCTTAACTGACTGAGCCACCCAGGGGCCCTGATATTTGTGTTCTAACTCACTGAAATGATTTCTGATTTCAGAGAACAGGCACCTGTCACTTTTATCCTGATTCTACAATTTTACATAGAGGTATAAAAAGTAACTGAATGTCTTATTCTGTTTTCCAGTATATTGATCCATGGGCATTTTAGATGATGAAATATGTCTTTGCATTAGAAATTTAATTAAAACATCTTTTTTATTTGTTCTTTATATTAAATTTGGTATATTTTTCTTTTTTATTAAGTGTGTAACTGGCTTATGTGTACATTTCATTTCAGAATAATAAAGATCTCTATAAAATATTTGTTATAGGGCGCCTGGGTGGCTCAGATGGTTAAGCGTCTGCATTCAGCTCAGGTCATGATCCCGGGATCCTGGGATCGAGTCCCGCACTGGGCTCCCTGCTCCTTGGGGAGCCTGCTTCTCCCTCTGTCTCTGCCTCTCTCTCTCTGTCTCTCATGAATAAATGAATAAAATCTTTAAAAAATAAAATAAAATGAAATATTGTTATAAAAACAAAACTTAGGGCCTGATCAGTTTGAGAATCACTGATTTTCCTCCCTGCTAATGGAGACAGAGCAATATTTTATTTTGAGGGGGAATAGTTTGGGAATTAGTAGATAATTGGAGATAAACTAAATTTAAACTCAAGGTACCTAAAGCTTATTTTTGAATCTCAGTAACTGGCAATGTGACATTGAACAAGTTATTATGATCTCTGGATCTCCATTTTCCAATATTAAAATGAACCCATTAGACTAAAAGTTCTCCAAGATTACTTTTCAGTTATCATTCATTGAAAAAAGACTATTTCAGGGTGCCTGGGTGGCTCAGTTGGTTAAGTGCCTGCCTTCAGCTCAGGTCATGATCCTGGGGTCCTGTGATCAAGCCCCATGCTCAGTGCGGAGTCTGCTTCTCCCTTTCCCTCTGCCCCTCCCCCTGCTCGTGTGTTCTCTCTCTCAAATAAATAAATCAAAAAAAGACTGTTTAAACTTTCTTCACAATTAGGTATGCTACTTTGATTATACCTATCAAAGAAATTTCCAACGGGACTGTTCAACTCTTCAATATTGACAACCTAGTAAAAGTTTTAATGTTTTAACAACAAATAACTTGCTTTCCCAGGGACTTAGAAAGGCAGTGCTACTCTGCCAGTTTATCTCTAAGTGTGTTAGCTTAATTATATGATGTCAACTTTTAATCTTAAGTATAGGGCTATAAAATCTAAAAGGCCCCACCGTTGCCTTTGCAGTTTGTGCCTACATTACAGAGTATATCCACTTCTGAGCTTTCAAGAGTAACTCCTCTTGCCAAATTGAAATTGGCTTTCAGGCTTAGAAACCAAGGTAAGGTTGTATCAGGGTGAAGAAAATTTTTTTCTACCCTTCAAAAGTTCTCCTGGCTGGGCTAAGAATTAAATTGACATGTACCAAATTAACAGGAGGAAATAAAATGTGATTTTATCTGTACGGGAACCCCACATACGTGAGCAGTTCAAAGCCAGAAAGGTAAAATGAGGTATATATGCCAACCTGAGCTAAGGAAGGGATAGGGGCCTGGTGCCTCAAAGGCGAGGGGTAGTATTCACAGAGCAGTAAGAAGAGCAAGTATTTGGTAATTAGATGTTTGCCCTGCCATACAGATGGGTCAGTCAGAAAAAATATATCTCTGGTAATAACTCCCATTCTGACAAAGATCCCCATTTAGATTCTTCTAGGTAGTTGCGGGGCAAAAAAGTTTCTCTTGACCCTGTAGTCTTGATTGCCTTCAGCCCAAAATAGTACACATGTGTAAGTGGCACATTTTGAGGAGAAAACCCCTTCACTTATTTAACACCCCAAGACAGTTTCTGAGTGTTTCTGAATCAGAATCTAGGGAGACAAAGGTGAATCATGTGAATAACATGCATATTTACTTGGAACCAGTGTGATGAGGGCAAAATACATGTGCCCTACAGGGCAGGGACACAGAAAAGTCTATTTTGTTCATCACTTGCCCTTGAGGCTGACACAAGCCCTGACACACACAATGGGCTCTGTGAGCAAAAGGAGCCCCAACTTCCACTAACAGCCAGGAAAGTCAGAGGAGCTCTCACAGAAAAGGGTGATATTTAAACTAAGCAAAGAGGCACTTGAAAACAGTGCTACCTAATAATTACTGGCAGTGAGACTGGCACACTGGAACCTGCTCATAAGACCAGCTTTCTCCCACCCGCTTCCTTCCTCACTCTGGGCAAGTTACTTCCTCTCTCTGAGCCTCCTGCTTTTCATCGGTAAGAGAAGGGGTTGAGCTACATAATCTCTGACAGCTTTTGTGCATGTGTGTGCCTGTATGTGTTAACTAAATCCTATCAAGTTTGCAGGGGAGAAAAAAAAAACAACGAATACACAAAAACTGCAAGTTTGCACTACAAATGAATTCTCTTGTGGATAATAAACAACATTAACAGGAAACTAGACAAAACCAAGCAAAAAAGGGTTGTGAAAAAAAAAGAAAGTTTTGTAAAACGGAAGGAAGAGCAGTTCTCAAACAGCCAGGGTGACTGGGGGTAGCAAGTAAAATTTTCCGAGGGGGGTGGGAAACTGAGCTGGTGAGGACGAAGCGGGGAAGAAAAGCAAATAAAAGAAAACCTCACTTGTTAGACCTCTCTCGCTCTGGGACTCACCTTCTGTCTATTCCCCCCTCCACCCCTCGCCTCACCTTCTTCAGTCTCCCTCCTGAGACTCCGTCTCCGCCTCTTTCTGATCTTTGGTCACCTCCCCGCCCACACACATTCTCTCTCTCTCCACGTCCCCCTCCCCAACCCCCGCCCGTTACTTTTCAAGGAGCAAAGTCACTGTGGCTCTTAAATCCCAGTTTGAGACGTCCCATAGTCATAGAACCTGTGCCTCGCTTCTCTCCGGGCTCAAGGTCCAGCCCCTCCACGTACGGAGCAGCACGTACTCGGGACGCCTCACCTGCGGGGCGGGACGGCTCCCGAGCGCCCCTCCCCGCGCCCGCGGCGCCCCCGCCCCGCCCCGCCCCCGCCCCGCCCCGCCCCCGCCCCGCCCCGCCCCCGCCGGCCGCCGGTTTCCGGCCGCTCCGGCTATTTTAAGGCAAGCGCTGTCCCGATCATCTCGCTCTAGGCCTTCTGCTGTCTGGCTACGGATCTCACCTTTTCCCCTCCGGAGCCCCGCCAGCATGGGACCCTGGCCCCGCTCGCTGCTGGCCGCCCTCCTCCTGCTCTTGTCCGGCGTTGGCACCGCGCACTGCGACACACCGGCCAACTGCACCTACCCTGAGCTGCTGGGCACATGGGTCTTCCAGGTGGGCGCTGTGGGTTCCCAACGCAACGTCAACTGCTCGGTCATGGGTAAGCCGCCGGCGCCCCGGGACTCTCCCCCTACCCGCTTTAGCCCGGGACTCCTACCTTTTCGTCCCGGAGCTCTTCCTTCCGCAGCGCCCACGTGGAGCGTCCCCACCCGGGGCCGGTGCCAGTGGGAAGCCGGGTGGACCTAAAGCTCTTTGGGGTGCCCTTTGCCGCTGTAGGTCCAAGAAGGCAAAGTTCAGCAGCTGAGAGCCTCTAATTTCACGTTTTCTTGGTTATTATCGGACCTGAACACTTTCTTCAGGAACTTTTTAACCTCCATTAGTTTTCGTCTTTTGGTCAATTTAGTTTGGAAAGGAATTGAAACCGTGCGGTCTTCTGATCTCCCTGTCCAATCTGCATTTTTTTTTTAAATTTTGCCCATGGAAAATGAGCTCAAACACTGGAGAATATAGCAAGAAAAGTTTTTGGTTTTTTTTCCTTTTGTTAGCTTGTGGGAAAGAACCCTTATGCCCAGCGTTTTTGATTTACACGTGTGTTGATGCTACTAGTCCGAGAAAACTTTTGGTATGTTTCCAGTGTTTCATGTATTGCCGGGAGATATATAAAAGTTGCCCCCCACCCCGCCGTTTCTTCTCTCTCTCTCTCTTTTTTTTTTTTTTTTTGAAATAACTCTTTAGCCAGTAATTATATTTGGGAATGCCCAGAGACAAGCACAATGTCTAGCTCATGGAAGGCTGTTAATGAATATTTAGTGTTAGAACACCGCTGGGATATTCCGTATGCCCTCAGATAACATAGCTACACTGAGGACAAAGAATTTAGTGAAGGGAGAAGAAAAAAAGCAATCCCCAGTCAAAAGAGGCACTCTTGTTCTGCCCGAACCCTTACCACCCTGTGGCATGTGAGGAGTGAGTGCAGTTTCCCTGTCAGCAGGAGGAAGATTGCCAGGTCATTTGTTACTAAAACAGACCTATTCAACTGTCCAACTCCAGATGACTGTGTGGCATTTCCTAATCCTGGGCATTATAAACACCTTCTGTTTTAAAAGTGGAATGTGGAGGTACGAAGGAGAGGGAGATCAGGATTGGCCCTGTTTGTCACATGCAATCTCCTATTTCAGAGCATTAATCTGAAAAAAATGTCCTAAGTGTGAAACCTCCAGATGGACACAGCAGAACCCTTGCAGGCAGCCTCTGCCTATAAGTCATATCTTTGACTTTAATCTAGTAAAGACACCCAAAGATCTGCACCCCATCTTCTGGAAGTTGAAAGCTTAGTTCCTATCAGCACGAGCTAGCTTTATAGGATAGAAATCTTGAATTTGCTGAATACTGTGGAAGGATTCAGATTATGAGGTTCTGAACTGTAGAGCCATTGAGGAAAAAGATACCCCTTTTCTTCTCTGAAGAGATAATTTCCTTTGTCCTTATAATCTGATAGCAGATCCTTTTATATTTTATATTTCCTTTTTTTTTTTTTTGATTAGCGTCTTGTATTCTACCCATTTCTGTGTATCATTTTAAACATCCTTTATTCCTCCTTTTCCTTAGTGGACAAATTTCTTCAGTGTTTGGATGTTCTGGGAAGGTAAGGGCTGTACTTTTCGGGGTCTCTGCCTGCTGGGCTACTTGACATATCTCTAACTGTTGAGCCTTCACTTCACAGGCTTGCCTGAGACCCTGTGGGAGTGTGCAGAGGGAAGCAACAGGATGGGGACTGGTATCTTCACGAGCCAGACTGGTCCAAATCGGTAGCATGAAAGGAAAGACACTTAAAAATAATGGAAATTTTAGAGGAGATTTCCCCTCCCAGTTGAAGTCCAAATAATTTTCCTTTATTGTGCATTTTTTTTTTTAGGACCACCAGAAAAAAAAGTAGTGGTGCATCTTGAGAAGTTGGACACAGCACGTGATGATCTTGGCAATACCGGCCATTTCACCATCGTTTACAATCAAGGCTTTGAGATTGTGTTGAACGACTACAAGTGGTTTGCCTTTTTTAAGGTTAGTTTTGTTGGAAATGCATTTGTATTTTTGGTGATTTGATATTTGAAGCTTCTTCTAATCAGACCCTCAGAATTTTGATTTTTAGATTAAGAAGATAACCAGAAGCAACAGCACTGAGCACCTGGGTGGCTCAGTCAGTTAAGAGTCCAACTCGATCTCAGCTGCGGTCTTGATCGCAGGGTCCTGAGTTCAAGCCCTGCCCTGGGGCTTGGGATCACGGGGCTGACTGATTCCCTGCTGCTGTCCCGCATCACAAGAGAGTATCCTACTGCATAGTGCTAGCCCAGGAAAAGATCAGTATTCAGAGTCTGGTTTGTACTGAATGTGTATAGCTTTCACACCCTTGTAAAGACCATTGTAAAGTCGGGGACTGTTAGAATGTGCTTGATATGTTAATGTGAATAACTCCCTTTACTAAGCTGAGACAAGAGATGGAGAACTTGAGTTACTCCTTGGGCTAAAGTAAAAGGTAGCCCTGCCAGTCCAGCTTGTTTCCTTCTTTCACTGGGGAAGAAGTCTTGTCCATTCTTCTACTCTAATGCATTGCTTCCAATTGCAGATACATTCTAGGATAAAATAGTTTAGCACACATTGCAGTCCATCCTAGATATCGTTCTGAAGTTGGAACTTCTCCTGCGAGCAGAGTGTTAACTGGTTTAAGTAAATTGAGGACACAGACCTGAGACTAGCTGTTTCTTGCTATAAATAGAGTACAAACAAACACAGACTTTTTCATGAAGTAGGCTTTATAACCTTTGGAACATCTGCTAAGAGTTAGCCAATTGTAGGATTCATGGGAAAGTAGGGATGAATCTGTTAAAGATGATGAAAAACAAAACACCAACAAAAGCGTAACCTCTAAATTTATTGTGCTTTCTCTTGTAATTTAATCACTGTGATATGGTGTTACATCTAAGCCAGCTATTTTTCTTAGAATAGTAACTCTTTTTTTTTTTTTCTCCCCCATGAGAATCCCTTTTTAACATGAAAAAAGAAAGAGAACAAAAGGAAAAATTCTCCCCTCTTGCCTGGATTGGCTGCTCTGATAATCAGCTGGTGGGAGCTGATTGATCCATTCTGGCTGTTGAGGGCAGGCTGCTCATTTTAGTAGTTGGAGCTCATGCTTGACCATTTAAGAAATGTTTACTATCACTCCTGGATACTATGTATTTAAAAAAAAAGACAGTATCTATATGAATTTTTAAAGTTGTAGTACATTGGTGGTAAGTATAATTCATTCCGAATATAATTCTTGGTCTGCATATTGATGAGCCCAGGGCTCTGTAGACCTTGTAGGTACTCCGCTATAACCCTTCGAAAGTTCTTTGCCTTCAGGTTGAGAACCACTTGCCTATGGAATTGATGGACAAGGAGATATTCAAGACAGTTGTTCACTATAGACCCTACCCTCCTTCCCCCTTGTCCTTTTTTGCTTGACACATACTAGGCACTTGGTCGAGAATTTGTTTAAAAAAATGAAAATGAATCATGGAAGTAGAATTCAGTTGAGAAATAGGTTGAATAAAAAATTATTTAAGTGTTAGATGGGAGTTGTATGTGAGTATAGACGAGTAAATAAAATAGTTTTACCCATATGACAGAAAATTTTTCATTCTTCCCTTCTATAGAATGGGAGAAAATGTTGGGCAAACTTCTAAAGTCACCATTTAATTCCCTGAGCCATAACCAGAAATAGATCTGGTTGGTTTCCCTATATTAATACCTTTCCATCAGTTTGTCTGCTCTCAGCTTAAAGAAGAGTCCAGAGCTGGTAGGGACAGAGGCAACAGCTGGTGGCTGGAGGAGGAATCCAAATACCTCTTTGTATTTCTCTTTAAATCACAGTGTAAGTAGATTTGGTATTTTCCATAGCCTCAGAACGTAAGTCATAGGTCAGTAGAGAGCCACTTTATAAAGCCAAATAAGTTTATTGGTGTACTCAGCCACACGTGGGGAGAATCTCTATTACACACTGTTGTAGGCTAGAACCCTACCTAATCACAGGCTCCTGGATGGCATTCTCTGATTAGGAATAAAAATAGGAAGAGTGTTCTTCTGTTAACTGATTTCAGTATATTTCTTGAAGTGCCTATTTAACAGAACCGTTGTCCGGGCTGTTTTTGTGCTGAGAAATCAGTCACTCTGACTGGACGATAGTTAGGCCTTGTGATGGGATCATAATTTCAATAAACAGAGTAGAATATATATAAGATACTTGGCTTTAAAATTTCTCTTAACCTAATCAAGTAGTTCTAGGTCAACATATTTTGCAGAGTGATAATCTATGTTCTTTTAGCAAATCCAGCTGACAGGGTAATGGGGAACTGAATTTTAAAAAATCTAAGAAAAATGATAGAGTGGAATGGACTTTATTTTTTAAAAAATATTTTGTGAGAGAAAGAGCACACACGAGTGGGGAGAGAGGGGCAGAGGAAGAGGGAGAAGCAGGCTCCCGCTGAGCAAGGAGCCTGATGTCGGACTTGATCCAGGACCCTGGGACCATGACCAAAGGCAGACGCTTAACTGACTGAGCCACTCAGGTGCCCCTGGAATTGACTTTAGATACTAGGAAAGGCAAGCACGTTTGGTGACCCTGGCTAACACAAACAGCTTGCTGGCTTTAACCAGAAGCATCAGGGCATTTCCTGCAGTGGTGCTGGGGAAACCAAGTTGGGTTCTAACTCAAGAAAAATGCAGACCCATTGAAATGAGCAAAGCACGTGTGGCTTTTTCTACAGACTTAGAAAATAGCTTTGAAAATCAAAATTTATTTATTTTTATAAGTGAAGAATTACCAAGGCATAAGCAGTATGTTATTTAAAATGTCTCATGTAAACTACAACATCAGCCTACCACTGTTAAAGAAGCATCTGACATTTTTTCCATGTACATCTATCACCTTTATTTTGTGTACTGTTAGTCTACAAATCAAGTGGATTTCCATATCTCTCCATTGACTCATACCAAACCCTACCACTTGTTTCCTTTTGCCCTCTTCAGATTTGCTTTCATTAGGTTGCACATTTGCTTTTGATTGTCTGTTGTTGCTGCTAGAGTTTGCCCAGCAGGTGATCTTTGCAGAGTATTAAATGTTAGGCTGCTGGTCCACCTTTTCCCCAGACTATCCTACAGCTCAACAGAGCAGACAGCTTCCACAGCATTCTCCCTGCATGCCAACTTTGGAGCAGTTGTGATACCACTACTATTGCTAGGAATTTGCTTTATTAAGTTCTCAGGCCTCACCTGGAAGATGGGCAATTTTCATGATTTAAGGTTTGTAAGTTCTTTTTTTTCCGCCTTAGTTTTATGTGCTTAAGACATTGGGACTGAATGGGGATCATCTTTTTTTGCATATGACTTCAAGCTAGATAAAAGCTTGGAAGGAGATAAATCTTGACACTGAAAGTTTTTGGATAGTTTGAGTTTGGCAGGAAGCACTAGGTATATATTCTTAGAAGGTAAGTTTTTCTACTCAACTTCTGCATACATTCAATTATCTGAATGCTTTGTTTGAGGGGTTACAAACTCAAATGCATTTAGGGCCCACCCAGGCAGATACCTAAGCATTTGAAATGACCCTCATATAAAACAGTAAAGAGTAATTAGACCTGTGACAAAATGGAAACTTTCTTAGAGGCATTCGTATTCAATTTTCTTTTAAAATAATGTACTGGCCAAAATAAATGACAGTACTGTCTGCAGGCTGGTTTCTAAGAGTCATCAAATTTAATAGCTTTACCATTTGGTTATAATCGGCAAACCCAACAGATCTCCACCGCTTGAGAGTACCTGCAGATTAAAAGCAGCCAGCCTCTTAAATGAAAACCGAAAGTAATGAAACGAGATGTTTAATTATGGCTGACTTGGTGTTGGGTGGATAAATGATTTGTTTTATGCTTTTATGTATTTTGTTCATTTTTTATGATGAGTATGTATAAAGCTCCTCTGCACACCATCTAATCTAATTGCTCAGAGGAAGGAAGTCATATGAAAGAGACTTAAGTCCCAAAGAATACCCTCAAGTTGAATAGGTTTTCTAGCCTTTTCCTGCTTCTCATTTCACTTTCTCCGAGAAAGTGAACTGATTTCATTTTGAAGATTAAGCCACTCAAGGGCTAAAGATGTTTAGAAGGGAAACTAGAATCATGGCTGAAAATTTTATCTTATGACCATCAAGCAAATTTTGTTGATTTTTGTTTGGGGCCCACCAGTCTTAGTAGAACTCTAAGCAAAAAAGACTTCCATGGGTGTTTCTAAAGCAGGTTGGTACTGAAAATGAGCCGTAATTTGGGAAAAACATACCAGAGGATTTAGAGCCCATTTTGTGTGCTAGTGACTTGCAAATTTCCATCTTGTCGCCAACAGCCAGAAATGTCAATCGTGTTTCTACAATTAAAGATTTGGGAATGTCACATTTTTTTCACTCTGCTTTCTGGGTTCACCTTTCAGAATACTTGTTTTTTGGCTAATTTGCTTGTTTTAATATAGATTCAGTATACTGAGATCCAGATTTTGTCTTTTTTAAATTTTAACAACTTGGGGTTTACTCTTAATAGTGTTTCAATTTAAGTTTAACAGTCCATGCCTAATTTTGTTTTCTTTCATGGTGATGCTTAATCTTAACATGATGACTTAGTTTCCCATTGTGAACTCTTCATAGGATGTCACTGATTTTATCAGTCAGTTGTTCATGCAGCTGGGAACTGTGAGGGTACATGATTTGAGACATCTGAGGAACAAACTGGGTGAGCTCCATTGAAATTTTTAACTTCTTAAAAGCCAGCAATGTTTGTTGATTCATCTGGGAGAGGGAGATGGAGACTGGAAAGATTAGGGTTTTTACACACATTTCTTGCTTGAGCCTGCTTATTTGCTGTTTCTTACCTGCCTGCACTATTTTATGTGAGTGATCTTTCACTTTATTCTCTTTGCACACATCGAATTGGTTCTCCCAAGTCTGATGCTTCTAACCTAAGCAGACCTAAACCCAAAAAGAT